TATTATTTACACTTATACACAGTTTATAGAACTAAGTGGAAAACAATGCAAGAGGCATACGTCCAGCAGTGGACTACTTTATACTGAAAGAGAGAGAGATACATATTTTAGTATGTTCATTCATAATTTAAGAGCCAGGCTGTTGTCGGTGGAGCTCTTGCCATCTTCCACGATCTTCAATCATGCTCTTTAAACGTTGCTACGACGCGACTCTTAGACGATGTAGCTGTGCTTTGATCTTCTTGTACACCTGTTTTGTTTTTTCCCTCAATAATAATTTTCTTGAATTCATCATGCCATATTCCTAACATTTTCCCTCGTCTATTTTCTATAGAATTCAACATCTGCCATTTTTTCTATCGCTCTGTGTAGTACTTCTTCATTTCTTCGTTTATCTTTCCAGTTAATTCGTCCCATCCTTCTCCAACACTATATTTCAATTTCAATTTTAGTTTATATATATATATATATATATATTATTTACAATTTTAGTTTAAAAATGTTGGAATGTCTTTTTACACAATCATATAAATACTTAGATACTTTTTTTGTAAATTCATACATAATATACTTATAAAATACCAGACTGATACAAACAATCATACACATGAATACAAATGTTTGCACCGTGCGATAATTGAACCCGCGACCATTGGAAGTAAAGCGATGTGCTAAACCGCTAGACTACCAAGGCCGTACCATTTCTGTACAAAAAAAATATTTTAATCCAAAGATTCAAAAAGAGAATCGAGGCAGAGTGTACTAAAGATACTGGCAGCGTTGCCACTTTGAATGGCCGTACTTACCTTCTGAGCAAAGTATCTACAGCTCTTGAGTCACTAGTATCCTCTATGAACCGCGCTGAAATAAACGTTAAAAACATTTTAGCTTCTAGGCTCAAAGTTATTTTACTGTTATATTTGAATTCACGACCCTTTCAGTGTGAATAGGGGTAATAGATAATAGTAGTATCATAACAAATTTAAACATAGCATGGTTCATATATAACAGTTGCACAATAAAAATTGTAAAAACGGTCTTGGGTCTTAGTCAGCGGTTTAGCTCACTGCTTTACTTTCATATATGTATGTAGTTTGGGTTCGATCGATGTGCAATAAATAAATAACTCTGTACAATTAACACAGCGCCATCTCGTCCCACGGTAAGCAGAGCTTGTATTTATATCGGTAGACTAGTATCTTATGGATACTAGTCAACCGATATAAATACTTAGAAAATATTTTGTAAATATATACATAATATACATAGAGTACACCCAGGCCGATATAAACAATTATACTCATGAATAAAAACACCGCGCGAGGAATCGAACCCGCGACCATTGTAAGTAAAGCGGTGGGCTAAACCGCTAGACTACCGAGGACGCTGGATATGAACTTGGATTATCTAACGCCATATCTAATTAATATGTAGAAATTGTACTGTAAATACTAACTACTGAACTAGTAATGTGATTTTTTATAAACACACTAGCAGACCCGACCAGGCGTTGCTGTAGCTAAGGTTCTTGAATAAAATAATGTTGCTACTACAAATTGATATGTAAGCTATCCTATCTTTCAAGTTGCATAAAATTGTACACAATGTGTAAATCAAATTTGCAATCAGTTCAGCAGTTTAAGAGTCCATCGCGGACAAACAACGTGACACGTAATTTTTATACATAGAGATTGAACATATTCAGACCCTCAGAATGACTGATTCTCACAAATCTATTTATGTATGAGGTAGGATATTTCAATCCTTTTGCATTGAAAAGATTGCTTTCAGCAATAAGGCGGCCTTATTATACCGATATGTGTCCTTTGTTATATTGTTTGTGATTCTTCTTCTTTACTGTATGTTGAAAATAAAGTACATATATTCTATCTCTATGTATGAGGATAGTGTTATTAACTCATCAGAGTCGGGGTGATGTCTGAGTCATCGTCCATAGGCCGCCATCATGTGCCCCACTACTCTTGAAAAACTGGAAATGATAACAATAGAATCGAACCCACGACTGAAGATAAAGTAATAAATCGCCACAGAACGACTTCGGGAGTCGTCAAAATTCATGTAAAATTAACTGAAAAAAGTCTTTTAAACAAAAACAATGTGTCTTGTTACTTTAGAGAATACCACTGAAAAACTTGAGGCAACACATTAAAACTTGTAAGTGGTATGTTTTATGTTTTAGTTTGTGTAGTAGTTTACGAATTACTTTTAGTTCAACCTTTGTTTCGGTTTGTTTGACTGTTTTATAGCAATATAAAACAAATTGTCCATTTAAACATTGAACGTCTTTTTTTGTCTCTAAACATTGTATAATTATAGTTTATTCAATGTAGTATAAACATCATAATTTGTTTAACTTATACCACATTTCGATTGGGGGCCTAGTGATCTGTATAACAGGTTATACCCATTTCAGACACTAGTTCCCAACAGGAAATCGATTCAAATAATAAATCTAAGAATTTTACTATAAAGAATACTAAATGTACTGTTGCCATCATGTTTGTGAGGAGAAATAAATAAATCATATTATTATTATTTGATTGAAAAAGGTGATGGTAGATTTATTAAAAAAACATAGTACAAAGTGAAACTTCCATAATATTCCGTATAGATAGGGTGTATTAGGTTTTTTCGGTCATGAAAAAGAGTTACCGTCTGGTAGAGGGAGTAGAGCATAAAACGGGTTGTATGGTAAAGAGAAAGCCTGGTAAAGTACAGTGGGAACACTAGATTAGTACAAAAAGTACCCCCTAATTCCACTTTATAAGTCTTTCGGAATACAAGAAACTGACATTTATTTATTTATTTATTTTTGAAACATCATTACATACAAAATAATTGCCAGATGGTAATAACTATTACAGATCAGAGAGTTGAGTAGATAACATATCATAAGAGACTGCAATAGACCCACACGAATGACGATGTTTTAGCTTGATTTGATAAAAACATTCCAAATCAATTGTACATTACATAAAAAGAGTAATTTGAGTCTAACATACTACTATTTTTTGCAATGATATGTGCATAGTCCATAAAATTCACACAAATTTGTACACTGTTAACATTATGACAGACTTATGCGAGATTCTTTAAATTTAATACACGATAAGTTAGTAATATTGTACTAATAATAATAATTGTTGTTATTATTAATTTTAAATTAACATTTCTGAGTACAAATACATTTCTAAAAGTATTAAAATATAAATATATGTTTGTGTTAATTGTAAAATAATTACCTATTAATGTATTTCCTGTTATAATATTCATATTAATTAATATAAAAATGTATATTTTAAGATATAAACTTGGAACATGTTAGTTTTATTTATTTAGTTTAATTAGTAGTTAATTTTATACCATTATCAAAAAGTGGGTATACTGCGGTGCCACAATAGCGGCAAAGCGGAAATTACTAAACTTTATATTGATTATATAGGCTATTCATATACGTATCCGTACTACTTGTGATATTATTAATGTGAAACGCATCAATCTGTCTGTTTGTTATTCTTTTTAAGAGCAAACAGATCATAATTACATTGAAGATATACATATAGATTCAATTACGAGGATGGACATAGACTATTTTTTTTTCTTATAAGGGTTTTGGGCTATTGTAAGATGTTAAGACCTGTAGCACTGTGACCTACATAGATCTATTGTGCTTGCTTTTATTCAAAATTTCCTGCTTTTGATATTCTTGAGGGCGATTGTTTTTATCTCCTTAGGATAGAGTGTATACTTTCCAAAGGAAACATTTCGTTTATGCATGAGTAGACTTCAACCACATAGGATGTGTAGTGGCGTATGACATATATATCCCAAACAATATTTTAAGTGAGAATCACAATTTATGGAGACAAAGTCGCAAGTAATAGCTATATTTGTGCAATTCTCGTTGTCCTACCAATAAAGTGTAGATGACTATAGTCTAGTCTTTATGTGGGTCTGCTTCATTATTATACCTACATTAGTTACATATATACATTATAAACGCGGAAGCTTGTGAGTAGGTATGGATGAATATTTGTTAATCTTTCACGCAAAAAGTATTGAATGGATTTTAATGAAATTTATGGTACTTTTCGGTTGAAACCGTATGGTTTGGTACAGTGGCACGTTATGGCACAGCTAGTATTATACTAATACTAGAATCTAGATTTAATAAAGATATTAATGAAGCCCTTAAGACATAAAAGCGGCAAACAATCTCACATATGTACTGAAATTAATATGTCGATTCCAATAAAATCCCACTCATAGATAGATTTGTCTGCTCATAATATTTGTTTTTAATTATTTCTTCGTATCTTATAAGGTTCACATGTTTGGAAATAAAAACCCCAAAATAAATTTATGTTAAAAAAATATCCTAAATCTATAAATATCGTTTATATAATGTGTAAAATAGGATTATTTTAATTACTATGAAAATTAGAGATTTGTTTTACTTTTTACTAATATTATAAACGCGAAAGTTTGTGTGTATGGAAGGATATTTGTTACTCTTTCACACAAAAACTACTGAACCAATTTTGATGTAAGTTTACAGCAATGTAGCTTATAATATAGGCTTTCAATTTCAGACGGGCACAGGTAGTATATAATAAATATAATTTAATTGTAAGTATTAAGTATTACGTTTTTATGCAATTATTTTGTATCCAAAGTTTAAAATATTCATGGAATGAATAGGATAATTGAAATGTTTTTATTTCTCCTGAAATGTTTTTCATTCCTTCAAACAAATGTAACCTTAATTTAAAAGCAAAATCGTTTCTTATTAGTTTATTGTAGTAAACTAGTAAATGAATTTAGTTCTACTAATTTTAAAAGTAAATAATATTTTATTTTCTTTATAAACTTGCTCTTTATTGGCTTCAAAGAAAATTACAATAATATTATTACTACCAAATAGTAACTAATATAATTTTCTCTTTATTGTTACAGATATTTTCACTACAATATACAAAATGGAACAAGTAACTAAATATTTAATTATCATCACCTCTTTAATGACTGCAAAGTTAAGATTCACGGAAAGTAAGAATCATGCTGTACCAAATATCACTAGAAATCACTATCCCATACCGTACATCAATATTTGTGATATAATTGGTAGATCATCGAAAATATATTGCTACTGCAACAGCATGGACCCCGACATGACCACGAGAGCTGACTGTTGGATATTCAGCGAAATTAAAGAGGACGACATGATATGGCCGAACTTTTCAACGCAGTCACAACTAGAATACATTACCTTTAATGTACGATCAGAAAATGTCCTAACCTTCATACCAACAAAAGCGATTTCCGCATTGGATAAACTAAAACAGATATCTATACAATTTGGAACTATAAAACGGATACCACCGTACGCTTTTAAAAACTTGCCCAAGCTCCGCCAAATAATTTTGAAGTCTAACAAAATCAACGTATTGGAAAAATATTCGTTCTCCCACATGATGTCGCTATCAAATTTGAGTTTGGACGAGAATGAAATCACAGAATTGAATACCGACGTGTTCTTCGATTTGCCAAACTTGCAGATTTTGGATTTATCCTTCAACAATATAAGTTTGATACACGAAGCTTGTTTTAAGCATTTGAACAATTTGAAAGAATTAAACTTGGACAATAATTATATATCAGTAATTACAAAAGAGATGTTGGAAGGGCTAGAAAATCTTTCGAAATTAAATATTAGATATAATAAACTAACTATGATTGGGAATCTTGCATTTAGTGATTCATCGGGACTGAAAGAGTTGCTAATTGATAATAATGATATAGAATATGTTTCTGAGCGCGCATTCGGTGGTCTATCACAGCTGAGGAAACTCACTTTATCAGGAAATAGACTATCGAAATTTTACGAAGATGTATTGGATGAAGTGAGAAATCTAGTAATTTTGGATCTACGAGCTAATTTGTTGGAAACAATATCGTATGAAGCAATACGAACGGTCGTGGAGAACGATAAATCAGCTTCAATAGCAGTGTATTTGGACGGTAAGTTAATAGCTTTATTGGCACTAATTATGGTTATTGTATTAGACGTAATACTAGTTGTGACTAAGCTCAAAGTATCGACAAACTCAATTTGCTGCACAAAGTGAAATTAGATAAACTATATATTAGTTCGTGAACTAGTGAACTTTGTATTGCCTACAATATGTTTTATAACTTTCAGTCGGAGTATATTATGAAGTAATGATAGCGTTACTGGCAGCTTGTCCACCATTCTTTTTATAAACTTTGTATTTTTGATATATTGGTCATAGGGCTCCCTAAAATATAGTCGAGCGTAGTGATGGCTGGCTCATCCGTCATACTAGTGAACGAGTGCTGCTTGTAGGGACTGGTCTGCTCTTATCACTACGACTGATTTAATCTTATTGTAGATTTTTATTAATAGTCGCTATGCCTATAAATTATATATGTATAAGTAATAGAATTAACTATTTTTATCTTGAACAAATCGTGGCATATTAATTGTAAAACTAGATAAATACGTTATAAGTCATTTTCTTAATTTTAGTCCAGTACTTTCAGGATAGTTTTATATTCGATTCCAAATTCAAAACGTGTATATATACATGCATAGAGTCACTAATGTCACATACATAATAATTTGAATTTAGAATGGCTTGATCATTTGAAATACGTAGTTTTAATTAGATTCCAAATTCAAATTATACATTATACATATACAACAATTTGAATTTGGAATGGATTGATGAAATTGTAGTATCGTTTCCCGCCATTTCATTTTAATTTACCGTATATTTTGGTAGTCTATGATTAGCTGTCGATGCTGTCCTAATGAAAATTAGTATTATGTTTTATACGCAATATTTTTATAAGTAATTTACATAAAAAAACGTTTGAATGATGCATTTATAAAACAAAAAAGGTAGACATAGAACTAGAATTATATATGATAATAAATTATATATGTACATATATTAATTGCAAATAAATAAAATCATAAATAACCCTGGACAATTAACACAACGCTATCTAGTCCCACGGTAAGCAGACCTTGTATTATGGGTAATAGAGAACTGGTATAAATACTTAGATTTTTATGTAAATACATACATAATGTATATAGAGAACACCCAGATCGATACAAACAATCATACTCTTGGATACAAATGTCTGCACCGTGCGAGGAATCGAACCCGCGACCATCGGAAATAAAGCGGTATGCTAAACCGCTAGACCACCGAGGTCATCATATAATATATATTGAGTCCTTTGCAGTAATCTTTGTATAAATCCAACTTAGATAAATCTATAATCTCCTAGATTGGTCTGCTTGAGATAATTAAAGTACGCTTTGTAATTCTGCGTATAACGTATACAAACTTTACTATTAATATAAATGGAGTGTCTAGTTATTGTTGCTTCTAATTCGAATTTCAAATCGAGAGCTAACGTTATTTGTAGAGTAATTAATCACACCCAAATAAACAAGTTAAGAACGCGACGCTCTCCCTACGTAAGCAGAACTGCGAAATTGTTTTACATTAGTCATTCTATCCCACGGCAATTAGGTATTTAGATACACAAGTAGTATAATAGATATGTCTATCGCCCCATCAAAGGGAGACATATATAAAATTCTCGTGTCCAATGTTAGTTACCATACTCCTCCGAAACGGATTGACCGATTTTTATGAAATTTTATATGCATACTAGCTGTCCCGGAAAACGTTGTATTGCCATAAAATAAAAAAAAATCAGGGGCTTGGATGTTGGCCGATTCTCAGTACGCTCACAAAATTTCATGAGAATCGGTCAAGCCGTTTCGGAGGAGTATGGGAACGAAAACTGTGACACGAGAATTTTATATATAAGATTCAGCAGGTCTGAGCACCGGCTATCTATTTTTCAAATCTCTAAGTGATAAGGATTGTTTATCCCTAACATTTTTTTTTTATTGTATAGACGAATTTTTTTTTATAATGTGGCAATAACCAATACAAACAACCCTAATTTTTTACCCATCTACCATCGACCCCTATTTTTTAATAGCGATTTTAATTTATATAGCACAACAATGTCTGAAGTCGGTGTCGGCTAGTATACGTATATAAAGAATAATGCTTAGCAAGTCTGTCACCCCATCAAAGGGAGATAGGTATATAAAATATATACACAAAGAATATCCCAGACCATTTAGCACTCTAGTAACAGCGCTATCAGATGTCTAGTACCTACCCTTAACCTAGGGGAGGTTATGGTTACTTGACAACTTATAGAAATACATTTTAATTTTATAAATATATATAAAATGTTATATATACATAATGTATATAGTAATAGTGCATAGACCTATGCAATCATACCCTTGAATACAAATGTTTATATCGTGCGTGGAATCGTATCCGCGACTATCGGAAGGAAAGCGGTGTGCTGGACCGCTAGACCATCGGGTTTTGTATAATGTTATAAAATGAGTGCACTGTAAATATACGTTATACGCAATAAAAGTAGAAGCGAGAGGCATGTATATATGCAAAATCTCTATATATAATCTGTTGAAAAATTTTGGCTTGCCCACAAAGGCACTAAGTTCTATATTAGAACAAGTATCTAAAGCCACAGTACCAGATTTCATACCAGACATTTTGCGGTGTCAACTCGTTATAAAACAATGTTAATTGCTCTATGGTTGCCACTATTATTATCAATACTACTTATTATGTATAAGTTAGAGACATCACGAATTCGCGGCACATATGCAATAAATCATCTGTGTCCCAACCCTAACCTTATCCGCAATGAGAGAATTTGAGGCTATTACATTAGAGTTAGTGATGAATTCTCTCGCGAATAGTTATGTAAGTTGTAAGACAAATCATTTCCTTGAAAGACCAAAAATACGTATGTAAATTTAATAGAATTAACTGTTTTTACCTTGAGCAAATCGTGGCATATTAATTGTAAAACTAGATAAATAAGTTATAAATCATTTTCTTAATTTTAGTCCAGTGGTTTCAGGATAATTTTATATTCGATTCCAAATTCAAAACGTGTATATATACATGCATAGAGTCACTAATGTCACATACATAATAATTTGAATTTAGAATGGCTTGATCATTTGAAATACGTAGTTTTAATTCGATTCCAAATTCAAATTATACATTATACATACGTACGGCTAATGTCAAATATACAACGATTTGAATTTGGAATGGATTGATGAAATTGTAGTATCGTTTCCCGCCATTTCATTTTAATTTATTGTATATTTTGGTAGTCTATGATTAGCTGTCGATGCTGTCCTAATGAAAATTAGTATCATGTTTTATACGCAATATTTTTATGAGTAATTTACATAAAAAAACGTTTGCATGATGCATTTATAAAACAAAACAGGTAGACATAGAACTAGAATTCTAATGTTATCGTTTTCTTTATTATTGTAGATGCGATTTGCGATTGAAATAAAATAAAATATTACGATTTATCTCCCTTTGACATGTATGAACATTGTCGTATTAAATATATATATCAAAGAACTAGGTTTAGTACATCGATACATCAAATGTTTAAGGAAGTATATTAAAAACATAGTGATTACTCACTCAGTGTCTATAAGCATGAAAAATGGAAATTACATCAGAGTGAATGGCGGCCTTCTATAAATACGATTAATTTACGTTATATGAGGAAATTAAAGAATTTCGCATCAAAGCTCGCTCTAATTGACTTCGTGCGTCATCACAAGTTATTTTTGACAAAAATATAAAAATTATATTATTTTATATATTTACTGCTATCAAAATATCAGTTTTCCCTAGTATAGGACCTTTTAAGCATGTAATAAGATTCTCGTAAGTAGTATCGGGACGACCAAGATTCGCTTGACTCAATACAAATAACAATTGAAGTAAATTTAAGTTGTTATTTTTTTTTGTGTAATATCAAATTATTTTAAAAACGATACATCTGTACAAATAATAATAATAATATCTCAGGACAATTCACACAGCCCCATCTAGTCTCAAGCTAAGCAGAGCTTGTGTTATGGATACTAGATAATTAATATAAATACATACAATTTAGGGTGTCCCTTATATGGATGAAAAAATTTTTTTTTCAGATATCGAAATGCATACCCCTTAATTCTTTTTAAACTACCTAAACTTAATCAAATACAAAATTTTATCTTTATATGTCAACATTAACCCGTGCCGACAGAGGCTTGAATATTTTAAAAATCGTTGTCTTTAACGCTTATCGTTGTGTATGTGTAATAAAATGAAATAAAATGTTTAATAATAATAATCGAAGAGAAAGTTAGAATATAGTATTTATTAATCAAATGAACATCACAAATATTTTCTTTTAAGGGTCTCTTTTTTACAGTCTGGATACAGATTTCTATGCTCTTGTACACAAAAAACTCTTGTACGCAGCAAAAACTGTTTTTGATATTCTTTTGCAGTGACTAAGCCATGGAAATCTTGCATAAGTTTTACAGCTCTTTCAGCTGTATCATTCACGGCCCTCAAAGAAAGAACTCTTGTTTTAGCCTGCAAATAGGTTACATCTTCGTCCCATGCAGAAACGGTTTTCTTTAAGAAGTCTGTATCCATATTTAAACGAGCAAATAAATTTGTGCTCTTGACAGACACAAAATCATTTAATGATTTTCCTGCAACAAAATACAAGATATATTATCAGTTATTAAGATGGATATAAGATATAAAACTATTTTATTTTTAAATTAAATAACTTAATACGGTTTATTTATTACATTTATCAGTCAGGTCAGGTCTAGACCAACCAAATATAAAAATATGATAAACGCGATAAAACCGAATTAAATTAAAATGTGTAACAATAAAAAAAACATACTAAAATAAATGTTATGTATTTCTACTTACCATACAAATAATCAGACATAACTTCTTTCGATGGAATGTATCTTTTTACAGAATCATATAAACTATCTCTTTGTAAGTTCGCTACAATATTCGTCTTAGTTTGTT